GCCCCGGCCCCAATTATTTGTACTGCTCTTCTATGAGCACATGACTCCTCCGGAGCCCTGGGGCTCTACAGAAGGTATAGCTTTCATTAGCCAATGAAACAAGATTTGGACGGGCAGGGTCGGCTCTTCTGCCTGACTCAAAATGGGATGGCTCATAACCCTCATTAAGATAAGAGAGACAGGTGAGTGCTCAGCATTATGGGAAACGCCAAGCAAAACCTTTTTTTTTTTTTTTAAAATGCTGTGGGTATCTTAGCTTAGATTTGAAAACCAGTCATTTGCAGGTGAGATTTAAGACTGGTCTATTTTAAAAACAAAGTATTATCTATGAAATGAAGGTCTCCCACACTACTTCTTCCTGACTTTCCCTAACCATATGAAGCGTAATATTTCAATGAGTACGTATACTTGAACTTAAACAATAAAAGCTATTGAAAAATCAGGGGAGCTCTCAGTCTGATGCCTGGACTCACCAGTGGTTCACAACGGCCTATTTATTTCAGTTCCTAATAATGGACACTTCTGGTGAAAAGTCTTCACCATTCATGTGCTCTTTCAGTGGAAAAATTAAATTAGAAATCATTGTTCTTCCTAAGCAGAACATTTTGTTGTTGCATTTGGATAACTGTCAAGGAAGGAAGAAAAGGTGATCTGCTGTCAACTCAACAGGAATAATTGCTATAGTTTATATAAAGTAATAACTCTGCATTTCCAGTTTCTACATGTATTGTTCCTGTTGAATTATTTTGTTTGCACCATTACGCAACATGATGCCTTCCCCAAGGAGTGCAAAAAATTTAAGGGAAGACTATCCTTACGCCTGCAAATCCTACCCCACCCAATTAGTAATAGCAGGAAGGTGTGAAGCTGAAGGGACAATGTATTTAAGAATATGAACCTTCACAAGGAAAAAAAACATTGAATGAACTAATACATTTAAGGACAGACCTAGTGAAATGAGGGGGGGAAAAGTTTCAAACCAACAAAATAAACAGCTGCCAGCTTTTTAACTGCTTAGGAGAAGCCCGTGAGGCTTAATCTACAAGCCTAACCTAAGCCTCAATTTCCTTCTGCTCTATAGTGAAGTTTCTAATTCATGCTGCTGCTGGTAAGGTGCGTTGTTTCCCTGACATGGATCTTTTTTTATTGGCATGCAGAAAAATATGATGATACGTGGCTGCAGCCCCTAAACTCTTGTTGGACAACAACGCTGAGCATACTTCCTTCAGACCATTATGTGGCTCTCTCTATGTCAGCTTCTGTTTCAACTTGTTAATTTACTGTGCCATAAGCAACATCAAATAGTCTCTTAGGCAACACGTTGCCCATAAGCGATGGGTTGGGGAGTGCTCATCTCCTGGGTATGTCTATATTGCCCAATGCAGTAATGTACAAAGAAATCCTGGACGGCCTCTATTCAGGAAGGGGTGCAGCTGGGTTAGCTCCTGTTCTTCTGCTTTTATGGTTACAGGGTTACTCAGCAAGCCACTTCCAGCGAAACCACAAAACAGAATGCAGAGCATCACTTTGGTACACCACATATAATTATTTGCCCTTAAGAGTATCCTCCTCCCCCATGCTTTTAAACCCAGTTGCACACATTTGTAAAAGAGCAAATACAGCTGTGAGACTGTAAGGGATTATCTATCCTTGCCTGTGCAGTCTAGGAAGTTGTGGTGGCTTCCCGAAGCCAGAATTTGCGTGGAATAATTTACCTCTCCCAGTTCCCAGTCCTCCGCTTTATCCCCACTGGCAGCAAAATTAAAAACTACATAAAATTAAGACTCTGCACCTGCTCTGCTTCCTAGAGGAATAACAATATTAATGCATGTAGAAAATACGGCAAGACAGAGGACTTTTTATACAGGCAACAAAATTTTCAACACTGAACATTTCCTCAGTTATCTTCAACTTATTAAAATATGTCCAGGAGACAGAGAGCCCCATTCATTTCATTGAGTACTGAACACTGATTGGATTTTTAGGAGAAACTTTCTGTTTAATAAAAGCCTAATCAGTCTATTTAATTTTCCTTCTATTTTTTTTTTCTAGTTTTTAATTACACCATGGAACTTGAACTGTGGCCTCTCCTACTTTTGTCTGAAGTCAGCAACTGAATTCCTCTAGACTTCCATCGGTTCAGGACCTTGAGTGAAGACACTAAGGCTATCAATCATCTGATTGATAATTTTTTCAACTGAAACCAATGCAAATGTTCAGATGAACCTGCAGGAGTAACATACTTGAAATCAACTCGGATGGTACTGCAAACCTATAACCATATGTGGTCAGGGGGTTCAACTGGGAATCTGCTTTGCCATCAATTCTTTGGAGATCTAGAGCCAATCATCTAAATTCCTTCCTCCCTCTACTGCCACCTTTTTGTATTACTTGTCTTTCACTGGTGGCACCCCATAAACATTATTTGCTGAATACTCTGCAAATGTGGGTTTTTTTCATTAACTGCTTTTATTTACCTTTTTGTCCAAAGTCAATACAACCATAAATATTTTGTTCCTATTGTATGTCTGGAATAGAAATGTTCATAGAGTGCTTCCTTGTCCTGAGGGCACTGAAGCGAATGTAACCTGCCATTAAAATCACTGTTTTTAAGTAACCCAATCATTTCTCATCATTCTTAATGCAGCGAGAAACCATATCAAACAACTGGCTTTGGTAAGTCACTCATTTTCCTCTTGATTGATGCAAAACCCGTATCTATCCTAAGGATACAAAGCTTTCCCTGAGCATTTGCAAATCTTCCATTAAAGCTTGGAAAGCTCTGAAAGTTACATTAAGGATGTTCACAAATCTTTCCCCCCTTTAATAGTATAATTACTTGATTGGTTTGATAATAAATCAAAATCCAAGTGAAGAAAGATTCATGTGCTTCATATAAAATGAATCACAGGGAAAACATTTCACAATTAGCAGGCGCTCTTGCCTTACCTGCCATAACTTCAGACACATGGGCATGCCCAGCTTGGCACCCACCTCTGGCTTCAAGGTACAGACTGACGTCTTGGATGGCAGCTCCAAAACCTGAACCTGACATCAGGAAAACAAGAGTATTTGGTCAGGCTCCAGGTCAAAATTCTGCTATTAAAAACACAAGTCTTTTAAGGTGATTAAGGCTAGTATAAGCTCTTCCAGTAAAAACTGTCTGGAGGAAACTGAGGAATGCATGTTAAGTTGGAGCTGTAGGAGAATCTACAGCTATCTAAATAAATGCATTGTTTTAGGAAAGACCAGACAAAACTGCTAGAATGAACATATCCTCTTCTTCCACTCTTCTATTTAATCTGCATTATAGTCTTCTTTCCACACAGCAGATGATACTGTGCATACACTAGATAATATTGCAGACTGCTTAATTTGAAAACCCTTCCCTGCTTCCTCTCCCTTTCCCCCTTTTCCACCTCTATTGCTAATTTTTTTGTTATATTCACTTGTGGACACTTGCATTGTCTTCTCTGTTCTGTCATGGTAACACAGAGCTTGCGTGGAAATATAGGCAATGTGTATATCTAAGGTGGATTTTTTATTTACTGGCTGACTGCACTAACAAAATGTAAACCCAGAATTACCTGCTAATGCAGGCGGAGCAGTGATGGCATACAGGTATTTTTAACGTAACATTGTCTGACCCTATTCAAAGCAGGGTCAGACTATATTGTGTTAAACACCTGCTCTCTGTCTACATAGCAGCTTCCACTGTTGCTTGCACTGATGGTAATGAATTATGGATCTGATTTTTTTTTTTTTTTCTTTTAGCATTGGGCAAGTCTTTCCTCTGCCAAGGAAGTAGCTCATTTCCACCTCAGGACGATGGCAGGCAAGATCAGGAGAGCCTGCCTTTGCAATTTGGCACTGGAAGGTTTTGATTGACATGGAAGTGCCTCACTCTGGGCTGATCCTCAAGCCTGGAACTATGGAGAAATAGAAGTTCTTAGGTATCAAAAACTTGATGCCAGGAACATCACTGTTTCTCAAATGCATACTTAATCACTAAGGTGATCTTTTATTTTAATTAAATAAACAATGGTCTGCATTATCTTGTAAAATTAAAGGACTTCAATTTGGTAAATCCAGCATCACCAGCCATTCTAGGCTCTTTCAGAATGCAAAAGCCCAGCAGTGCTGTTGGACAGCCCCAGTCATGCGAATTTCCTTAAGCATCTGAGATGAGGTATTACACAAATATGGCTCCTCTGGGAGCCATCAATCAAGGCCACGGCAGCTGCGATGGCTTTCCAATCCCATACCTTTAGTTCAAAGCTTGCCAGAACATCTTCCTATTTCTAGGGGTTGTCAGCTAGCCTGCCAAAAGCCAGCTGCACTCTAGGACTGCAAGTTGACAATGTACTAAACACAATATACAGAACACTTTCTAAAGCCACTTAGCAATGGAACAGGAAAATGGAGACTACAGCAAAGAGCCGTCCAATACGTAGACCAAACCTATGAACAGACCAAAGTTTGATCATCTGGGAATTCTGGTTCTTTGGAGCGGCACTCTTAACAAAAGATGTTTTTCTCTTGGCAACTTTCTTGCTATCAGCGTAATGACCAAGTTAGCTATTGCAGGAAACGGGCTATAAATGTGAAGATGACCTGCTCTCATCTTGTGTCTTTCATCACTGGCTCTCCAAAAGGCACTGCCTCCTAGACAAGACTGAAACTGCAACTTTTACGTAATAAGGAAGGATAAGTGCGCTGTGATAAAGGCACTTCTGCAGGTTAAAAGAAAAAAAACAACCTCCTTCGCTTTACCTTGATTAAAAACGGATGAACTGGTACAAGGGTTACAGTTGGGCTGGCAAAGGACAAAGAAAAACACGAAGATGAGAAAAGCTTTTTGCAGAAGGCAGGCAGGCATGAGCTGCCTGTGCTAGATTGACAGTTCCAGAGACTGTCTGCATTAGAGGCAACTGAGCCTCAGAAATAAATACTATTTCATATATTTTGACAACTGTAACCTAAAACTTGAAGTTCTGTGTTTATATTGGTTTTGCTTAATAGGAGAAAGATTTGCCTTTGCCTGAGGTTAATAGTGTTCCTGGGTGGCTAAAACTGGCCACAAGGAAACACACCCTTTTTCTTTTTCACATTAATAAAGCTTTTAACATGTTTCTGGCAAATTGGCAAGAAAAGTACGTGTAACTCATAATTGGTGATTTAAATGCAATCATGAACAAATAAATGCCTGTTCAGATCTCATTATTTATGGACTGAACCTGCTTTAAGACAAAATTACTCTTTTTTTGGGCACCAGCCAAGCATAAACACTTATTAAGTCTTAATTTTAATCATAAGCTGCAAATGTACTGTGTCTCACACAGTGCTGCCTATTTGGAAGCATATATATTATGGGAGCTTATGTGAATTTATTGAAACCTGACACAGTTCTAATGTAAAGGTTCATACACAGAGTGGAACTCTTTTACCTCAGGAGACAGCAAATCATTATCAGTTTGCAGGGCCCAAGCAAACAAATGAAAACAAACCAGAGATGAGTTGTAAGAGACATTGGGGTAAATGTCTTCTCTTTGGATCAGACAATTATTTAGTTCTTCGTTACCAGAATGTGTGTGTACTATTTGCCTGACACAAAAACTCTTCTCCGTCTGACACAAGAATGCACTTGTCAATTTTGTCTAACTTAAATATTATTGAGCACTGCTGTAAAATGGAGAGAGTTTTTGTTTGATCAGAACAATGTATGGGACTTAGAGTGGTTGTATTTACTGGTACAGTGGTTTTGTCTACAGGCTCACTCAGTTCTGTAAAAGGCTGAACATTCTGGTTGTGAGCCAACAAAGTACTTAAATATGTCCTTAACTTCTGAATAATAAAAAGTTCACATTTTCTTGCAATACAGGCACCATTCCCACTTACTACTTTGTATTATAAAATATCCAACTTTCGGTTTCAAGATACGCATCCTATAGTCCAGAAAAGCATGTGACCTTTTATGCTCATGAACAATTTGCAATTAGCTACAATATTTCTTTTCATATTTATGCCACTTTTTTCTTTTCTCATATTTTTGGTATTTTGATGTCAAGTATTTGGAATAATTTATTTCTGTGTGATGTCCTCAAATAGTCCTTCAAAGAAAACAAAAATACGATTTCTACAAAGCAGAAGTGGAAACTGCCAACACAGCTGTCAGTCAATGATTGCTGTGATAATGGGTATTAGATGTGGACTTACCCAGTAGGAACTGAAACGGACCCTACAATTATTTCACACTGAGCAAACCTCTGGCCGCTAATAGCAATTCAACTATTTCCAGCCAAAGTACCAGTTAAAGAATTAGCCCGGGGTGAAAGACCACATATCGCATTACAAATCACCTGCACCTCCCTTCTCTCACCAAACACGACTTTCAGCTTCAGATGGAAGATGAGTACCTCCATCTGATGACAGACTTTCTGACCATTAGCTCCCCAGAAGGACTCTTGTTCCCCTTTAACAGTATTCAGCGGCACCAGAGGAGTTTTCCAAACTCCTGCACATGAAAGACCAGCAGCAGCTGCAAATACTTAAATGTCAGACAAATCTTGGGGTGGTATCCTTGTTATTAGAGCATGAGTTATATAATTCAGTCATCTTTCTGGGAGGTAAAATAAGTAAGTGATTAGAACCCCCAAAGGCTTCTTGTGCTGCCCTCTCTTGAGCAGAGAATTTGAGAGCAATGATGTTTCCCCTTCTGAACTATCTCATTTCAAAACCAAAAGCAATCTCCCAAGCACCAGAAAAAGAGATATTTCCTACCTCCTCCAGGGCTTTGGCTGCCATGGCCATTAGCCAGCGTCCCTCTGCCAACTTTAACAGAGAGCATCTGCAGAATCCCACATTCTCCGTGAAGACGGAATCGGTCACTGCAGTCCGTCCCTCCGCTAAATCCCACAAGCAGATCCTCTGGTCACGACCCTGACTGGTACAGGAAAACAAGTTATGCGTGAGCAGCAGGTCTGAGGGAGCTGGTTTCCTGCAGGTTCGTGTCTCAAAGTTGGGTCTTTGACGTGCAGTAAAGGAATGAGCTTAGTACAGCTTCCGAGGGGGTGTTAACTGGGTCTTTCATGAAACGTGTGGGAACTCAGTGTCACCGAGACCACCACCCTTCTGCTGACTGCAAAACTGGCCAATAGGTTCAAAAGTTACCAGGAGGAGGGAGGACCTGAGCGTCGGTCAGACACACTGCAGTCAGTTAGCCATGTCTCCTTGTGAAGAGGGACTCGATCAAACAGTTATGCTATTTGTGTGTGCATATAGATTTATGAAGTCTCATGAGTATTTGAACATTTTCATAATAAAAATACTTACATTTTACCATTGTTTAGATTTAATTTAAAAGGAAACAAAAGTATCCAGAGAGTAACACATGTAATGCTCTTTCACCCTAGCAATGAAATAGAAATGTCAGGCGTGTTGACAGCTGAAAGACAAATAGCAAGACAACAAAGACCACATCAAAGATAAATAGAAAGCTACAGTTATTCAGTAGTCAGCTTCCCACAGCCATAGGGAGGGCACGGAAGACTGTTATGACTGTGTATGTGGAGACACAACAGGAGAGGGACTGGCAGTGCAGTGAGTAGCAGGAATTAAACAATGAAACGCTGTGGTTAAAACATCCAAAACCAGAGAACCAGTGGCTGCATCACCGATGTACTAGTGCAGCTCACGCATGGACTCCTGCACACCTTTCCGTCCCACAGAAAAGTCTGTGTGTTGGTCCCAACAGCAAGACCAAGGAGGCCAGACAAACGGCACAGCGTCAATTGCTACGTATTTACGTGATCCCACTGGCTCAGGAACAAAGTACCACTGTGGAGAAGCTTCCAATCCACAAACTACAGTAGCACAGGATATGCGTCCTCATATTATCACCTGGGACAAGGAGTCATCAAAAATCCCTTATCCATTTCTTATTTTAATTAGCAGTATCACCTGATGGAAGTATGAAACCAAAACAGAGGCAGACTTGGGACTTCTTCAACATCAATACAGAAACTCCCATCTGCTGTTCAGCTGAGTGACAAACTGTCAAAACATTTATAGCACTGGGCATACAAACAATGTGCTACTGCAAGAAATGGTTGTGATTTACCTTTAGAACAGAGAAACAAAAAATACACGTAACTGCTGTCCTAAAATTGCACTGCTATGTGAACTGTATATAAATATACAGCAAAAATAGAGGTATGGAAAAACTCTATAATTATACAAACAATGCTCATTCAATATGATTTTATGGGGGAGAGTGTTGATAATTGTACTTAAGCAGATAACAAATATAAATGCTAATGAGTTCCACTGTGTATTATAAGAGATGTCTTCTCTAGATAAACATGTCAGAACACCTCCTAGTCATACAGACACTTTGGCATCTACTCTAGATCACCTGTCTAATCCAAAGTACATAAATCTTCCCAGCCTTCCCTTGCTAAACGAGAACAGAAGATATTTTGCAACAAAGCAAAGGTGTGCAACTCAGCCTTCTTGCTCATTTTCAGCCTTCCATTCTCCATCTCTGATTTGTCTCTTCTTTCCTTACCTTTTCTCCCTCTCTCCTCTATTTATGAACTTCATATCAATTTTGATCTTCACTGAGAACGAGTTGTGAAGCATTTCTCAACTTCAAATCCAAGTGTATTTCCTTTACCCAAAGACCTCACCTGATCTCAAGTGCAATAATAGATGCTACGGACCCCAAGTTGTTGTGATGTCGTCACATATATATCATAAAGAAATTAATCGTGTAATTTTTTCTACTTTTTGTTCTACAGTCTTTCTGTATTTTTGTACTTCTGTACATTTCCGTATGTGTTGGAGAGACTTTCAGTGACTCCAGAAATAAGAGATTCCTTTTTTTTTTTTCCTTCTTTTTTCTTCTTCTTCAATCCTGTACATCACAGAAACAAGAATAATTTCACTGGTTTTTGCCTGCTTTGCTAACCTGAGGAGCCTGTCTTTGCTGCCCATTGTCTCCACGCAGTAGACAGATTTTCTTCCATGGCCATCCAGTGCTGTGTCCACTCTGTGTGTTTTCAGGTTCCAGACATGGATAAACCCATTCTCAGACCTGGCAGTAAGAAGAGATGCTTTCAGTGTGACCACTGCAGGCAATCTGATAAGATAGTCTGATACTTTTCCTTCTTTTTTTTTTTCCAAACCTGAAGTTGTATGTACAAAGATAACACACCCATCCTTCACCAACCATGCATTTTGTTGTTTCCTCCAGATACAATTTATCTAAATAATACACTTTGTTTTAAAAAGAAATGTCCATATGATGCTCAACTCAGCCAGAAATCCTGGTTTACTTACCCAGAGAAAAGAATGGGGATATCAGGTTCTTGGCTGCCACAGGAAAACCGCAGAGCGTGGACCGCAGCACTGGTACCTCTGAGAACAAACTGTGGATCCGGAGGCGGCAGAGCCATCGAGCAATGAGCTGGGGGAGTGAGAAGAAGACACAGATACCATAGAGGGTAAGGCAGCCTGAAGTGAAATTGCAACTTTAAATATATTCTGATCAGGACATTTGCTTTTCCTAGTCACTTTCCTCTTTGAATTATCGCTATTGGATGTTATTTCTATTTGCCGTACAGTCCACTGTAAAGTATTTCCTCTTAACATCAACTGATCAAGCAGCTGTCAAATCTGCTTTTTGCTCCATTTCTTTTCAAGGAAGGTAAGTGCTGAGCTGGCCCTGTGTATGCACCTCTTGCACACTTGTAAATACAAAATTGTTCAACTGTTCTCCCTGCTGCAAAAAGGAAGAGCTGCAAAATGCAAGAAACTGGATACCCATCATTTCAGTGGGCAAGCAATTTATCATTCCACTCAGCCCCTTGGCAAGTCTTTCCCCTTCCTCCCCATAAAAATACTGTTTCTGTGCTTTCCACTCAGAACCATTTCCAGAAAAGCATTGCAGTGAACATATCAACTGAAAAGAATTTCAGATGAGATTAGAGTTATGATCATTTTTATACAAGAATCCCATTCCTTCCAAGTGTTTGAATTTTTGGTTCCAAGCATGGTTACTTGAAAAAAGAAATGCAGTATTTCACACTAACTTAGTGACTACTGTGTTAAACATTCTATTCCAGGGGGTTTGTATTCCCCAAAGGATCAACAGAGAGAGACGGATGCTTTCAGCTTTATGTCTGGTTCCAATGTGGTCCCAGTCAGCAAAGAACAGGACAAGTATATGGGGAAGCATGTTGCCCTGTCTAACATGGGAAACGTGAAGGACAATTTATTACGAACTCACAGGGACAGTTTGTGTGATCTGATGAGGCACACTTTTACTGATCTGGCACCTTCACCAAGTATTTCCATTCACATTAACCCCTTTGCAGGCAGTTGTGCACAAGCACCAAAGAAGGACAAGGATGACTTTTCTGTGTTCTGACTTGCTGCAAATGACCTTCCAGACCTGAGCTGGGACAAGGTAACCAGCAGCTTCTTTGACTCTAAGTACAATTGGCAATTCATTGGCAAATGCCTTATAACATGCATTACAAGAAACGTTTTCACCACGAAAAGTTTTTACTACTTTATCTGTGACATTACTAGCCATGCTTGTATTTCTGCTTCTTCCTTTTTGACCTGACCTCATACAGACAAGGACAGCTTTTGTCAACTCTCATCTCTCTTTCCCATTCATGCATATATTAGACTGGATTAAACAAGAAGTTTTCTAAATTCAGTAAGGGAAGATCAGCAGGTGTTTTTCTGCCTGCTGGTTCACAGGAGAGGAATTGCAGAGAGTCAGAACAGAGCGCTACAGCTACAAGTTACATGGTAAATTAAAACAGCTCAACTTTTAATTGTCATCTCACCTCAGTATCAGCTTTTGAATTGTGTTTAATGAATGCACTTGCTATTGCACCTCATTTGCAGGTCTACCTTGAGTATTTATAGATCAGTAATCACCATGGTATCTATAGGTCCTAATTAAACACAATTATCTTTTAGGACTAGTAATGAAACAGGATTCTTCAGCATAATGTGCAGTTCTCCCTCAATAGCACTGTGTAATTAGGTACGAAAATAATGAGCTCAGTGGATAACCTCCATGTTTTAGTGCCCTGACTCATCTGTTTTATGATGTTGTCTGATGATCTAGACTTATGACAGGCTGGAGTAAATTTTCAGGTGATTACATGATGTACAGGTTCGCCCCCATGATGAGATCCAGCTCCCAAGTGCCCATCTGTAACATGCTTCACCTGCGTTATAAACCTGTTAGACTAAGGGTTTTGTCACCTCTTTGGGACACTACAGCTGTATGCTGTTGCTCTCAAAATGACACTTTGTAGAACCACATAAATAAAATACTAGCTAGGCGGCTTGTCAGAGGAATGGGGTCCCTCTTCACGGTGGAATGATCCTGGGTTACTGCACTGAGCAAGGAAGACAAAATAGAACGGAGTCAACCCAGAGGCTATCTGGGATTACAAGGCAGGTTTTTAATAGCATTTTTCTAATTACTGACACAGAAGTTTTTGCTGACAGACAGCGAGTGGCTGTGGGAAGGGTTTTACCTGGCATGAAACAGACGCTACTAATGCATGTCTTTACAAGGACAATATTTCAGAAAAACCCTCAGACTGGTTACAGGAAAAAAAAAACCAACAACTGAAAACACACTTTCAAGCTGTAAGCAAATGAAGTGACTTTTTGCTCCTTGGAGCCTGGTTCTTCGCTTGCTTTTTTTTGCTTTGCTTTGCTTGTTGGAAATTTGGCTTAATATTAAACCTATGTCATTTTTTATTGGGCATATGAGATGACTCCTTACTACTTCCTATCATGACTCAGCAGACGAATGGCAGTGTGACAGCATTAAGCATCTCATTTTACTTCCAGCAAGTCGAAATTGCATCTGTGCTGTCTTCTTCATCCATGAGCTTGGACAAGTCACTTAAGACCACGATTTAATTAGAAGTTCTTAGGTACCTAAATAAACAGAAAGTCCCATGAGGTCGCAAATAGATGGAAATTTGGTGCACCGGTGCCTTAAACTCCAAGAAAGCATCCATCTGTTCCTGTTGACACATAAGCATCCTCAAAAAAATGACATTTAGCCTACCTTCAACTCACCAGGTAGCTCAATAGCTCTACTTTACTTACAGGGATAATGAAATACATTGTGGTATACTAACAGACAATGGTTATACCATGCTTTGCTAAGCAGGCAGCTACAAATATGCTAAATATGATCATTGTGCTATGGTTAAAGCCTCTGGGTAAATTTTTCAAAAGTGCCTAAGTGATTTAGAAGCCTAAGACTCATTTTCAAACGAATTTTCAATCCTAAGTCTCTAGGACTTTTTAAAGTTTCACCCCAGGTGTCTGAAAATGAGTTCTCTAATTAGCACAACATTTATTTTCTTGTTAACTCCATCTAGCCTCAGGGAGACCGATCCGTTCTTGTTAGCTGGGGATATCTGCAGCAAATTTAATTAAATGAATTTGCTTAGTATTTAGGCTGGTCTGAGAGCAAAATCTGGCTCAAGGGCTTGAAGTAGCAAAGTGCAATCTACAGAAGAAAGTTCATTTAAAAGCATCTCAGGGCTAGACTATATGTTTGTCCCTGAGATATCCTCATGCTATGACTCCTGTTTCCCGTGAAAGGACCTTAAAAGATATGAATCATCTTGCTTATGGCATTATTTGTTTGCAAGAGGGTATCACCAGTAAGAGATGCAACACCTCACCATCACGCTCTTGTTTTTTAAAAGATGTTCCACTTCTTATTTCTTCCAGCCTTCCCTGTGCTGGTAACAGCACCCTCTTTCAGGGGCTGAGCTACACTCCGACAACTAAAAGTATTTTTCACAAGGTGCACCGCAAACTCTTGGGCTCCTGCATAGATTATATTTGCTATGCGAGTGAGGAGTGGAAACCCCAGCTGTTGAAATTAGTGTTTCAATTAGCAAATGGCTATGTGCACCACACTTTAGGTACTAAAAAGGGTTTTGTCTAAAAAAATGCTTCTACTAAATGCCAGAACAATTGAATTTCCTTCAAAATTACGTTATTTTAAAGAACAATTCACTATTAATATCCCTCACAAAACTTACTTTGTTTAGGTTACAATTAGAATAATCTTCAAACTGTTTGAATGTCTATGCAGTGGTATTCCAGTATCATCACTTCAGCATTTGATATAAAAAAGTTAAGCTTTTATTTAATAAGAGTCATTTAAAAAATGTAAATGTCAAAAGGATTACCTTAGAAAAATCTCTCAGAGAATTAAAAACATTAACAGATTCCCACAGGAAAAATTCCAGCAGAATTCAGCAACTCTCCTGTTCCCACTCCTGTCACTTGTATTTCTATCACACATTGAAGCAAAAACAAATTGCTATTAAAATATCATCCAAACACCCTCCTCCCCCTACAAACTCCACAGTTCAGTTTGAGATACCAATGGCTCAAGCAAAGACAAGAAAAAATCCTCTTCTTTTTTTCTTTAGGCTTATTTAGAGTAGTAAAAACTCAGTGGTAAAAGAGTTTTTTCAGGTATAGGAGAAATAAATCTCTCTAGGCATGTCTGGCAAACTGATTTGGGACTGAAACCAGCAGGTGTGCAGACATAATTACTACTGCAAAATATTCAACACATCCAGGTGTGCTCACAAACAGATACATGAAATCCTGTTATTTTTTGAAAATTCCTAGTCTACCAGGTGCCACCCTCCCAAAGGAAAAATCAGAGCAAAGAATGAGTTGAGAAAGATGTGAATAAATTGTTCTTCCCCCTTTCCAGGCTGTTTCTTTTTCACTCATACAAAAGCCCTTTTTTGGCCTGCACTTCTGTGCCTACCTGCGCTCACTCAAAAGTTTTGTGACGCTGCCACGTAGTAGAGCGTAGCCCTAGTGCATGAGTGTGTTTTCCAAGTGGGTCACCAGCTGTAACTGCAGAGGAAGTCGGTGGAAATGAGAGACTCCCTCAAATTAATAGTGCAATGCAAACAATTTTGCTTATTCCATCACATTTACAATCTCCAGCGTTAAAATACAGCAGGCAGCCCTTGCAGTATGAGCTTTCCAAACACAATACTCCCATGTTTCCAGCCTGTAACCCACTGGGTTTCATAGTGGTGAAACTATGAACTATCCTCTCTACCCAAGAAACACCCTTATAACACGGCGGCCTGTGAATACCGTGGCCCTTCCTCGTGCAGCCAAGTTGCAAACACTGGAAAGGGCCCTTCCTTGTGCTATCGCCTTGCTGGTGTGTGCGTTACCTGAGTAGCAAAGACAGATCAGGAGAGTCCCAACAGCACCTGATTCACCTCACTGAATTATGCCAGAACACAGCGGGACTGGGAAAGAGCTTAGACATCCCTGGTTGACGCAAAATGCTGCCTGGTTATATGGCACTTCTAGCAAGCAGAGAACAAGAGTTTAGGGCTACAAGAACCTACTT